TCCATACTTAAGTTGTTGATGCAAATTCTGTTGAAAATCGATTTTCCTATTGAGTCATTTAGTTTAAGCGCACTTTAGTTAAGCATTTTTCAACTTAAATCCCACTGATTAAGTAAGATTACTGCTCTTGATGGTGGAAATACTTACGTCACTTTATACTTCTAATTGAACGATGAAATTTCACACTTTAGTCCATACTTAAGTTGTTGATGCAAATTCTGTTGAAAATCGATTTTCCTATTGAGTCATTTAGTTTAAGCGCACTTTACTTAAGTTAAGTGTGATTGTGGTCGTGGTGTCGTATGCAACGCTCGCTCGTTTCAGTAATTAACGGGGGGGAATAGTCAATAGTGCTTATCTTATCAAAAAAAAAAGAGTGTTTAGTATAAACAAGCGCGCAGTGCGAGTGTGTTATCCGTCCGTGTCCGTCCGACCGACTTGATGAGGTTAATCACTCTCGTCGTCGCTTTTTCTCATAACCACTTCTACCTACTTGCCTCTATTCTTCTCACACCGCCGGTAATTAATACCTCTTAATCATCTGCACGGCTCGAGTGTTTTTCAGTCGTTGAATCGGAGTGGCCGTGGCTTCGCGTCGCTAAGCTCTCTTCATCTGTTTGTTTATGTCGTTAACGCGACATGTGAGACGGCACCCCTCCAATCTCGTTCCATCTCTTTCACGCTCTCTCGTTTCCGATTCGGGTTTCTCTCTCTTTGCTTTTGCCCTCCCCCCGCGCGCGCTCGACACCTCTAATTATTATGATCTAGCAAAGGAACGACCGATTATCGGTTCGTAATAATAATTAGTCCGAGTCGTACAGTCGCGTTGTGCCATCCGTCGAGATAACCAACCCGTTACCATCTTCATCTCTTCCTTAAAAAATATATAGAAATATAGAAATCGAAAGATAGAAAACGGAGGAATTTGAAGAGATGGAATCTCCGCCGAGCGACAGGAAGTTTCTCATCATCGACAATCACACGCCGAAGATCATCAATTCCGATGAGATTACGCCGGGCGTTTACTATCCCAAATCCCCAACGCCCTCCAGGTAATACAAAAAAAAAACGCAAACCTCTCTTTCACTATTTCTCTCTTCATTTCGTCTCTGATAATCACAAAAAAAAACAACAAACTAACCGTCACTGTCAATCATTCAAATGTCACTTCGCGATTCGTATAGCGAATCGGAAGTTGCGATTGTTTCGTCGCCGCCATTGATATTCCAAGCATCCCGATTGGTTGTTTCCACTGGCAACCGTCAACCACTCAAATCTATTCTCTTTTTTTACTATATTTCATTCTACAAATCACAATTGGCTGTGTTTTCAAAAGAAAAAAACTCGTATTCGAATTCACGCTCTTTTTTTCATCGCTTCTATTTCGAGCTTCTCTATTGGTTATTCCCATCAACCATTCAAATTTACTCTTTCGTTTTTTTACTATATTTCATTCTACAAATCACAATTGGCTATGTTTTCAAAAGAAAAAACTCGTATTAGAATTCACGCTTTTTTTTTTCATCTATTATTTCGAGCTTGTCTATTCGTTGTTCCCATCAACCATTCAAATTTACTCTCTTTTTTTACTTATTTCATTCTACA